ATTCCAAATGCCTGTTCAAGATTAAGTGAAATGTAATGTGCAGGGAATCATGGGATTCTTTTTTTTTTTTTTTTTAAAGATTTGTTTATTCATGAGAGACACAGAGAGACGGAGAGGCAGAGACACAGGCAGAGGGAGAAGCAGGCTCCATGCAGGGAACCTGACGCAGGACTCGATCCTGGGTCTCCAGGATCAGGCCCTGGGCTGAAGGCGGCGCTAAACCGCTGAGCCATTGGGGCTGCCTGATTCTTAACTGGATACTTCCCTGGAAAGAATAACCTTTAGGTAGGTCTTCGTCTTAAATGAGTGTTTGCTCAGAAATAATTTGATGAGATCCTTCTGACATTTTTTGGTGATATCTATTAGCAGATGATAATGAAACAGTATAGTATAATCACTCTGAGTATATCTACCACCTTTTAGCTTTCACAGGGTAATATGAATTATAAAGAAACAAATCCCAAAATCTAAATAGTATTTTGGTGTTTGATCTATCTTATTTTATGTCATCTGTTAGACTTTGAGAACTTCAGGAGAATCAGAAAAAGAATATAATGTTGGATACCCACATATTAGGTTACATTTATGATAATGTTGAATATTGAGCAATCATGCTTTATAATAGTTTATATTTATTTTTGCTAATATTTTATATGTTGTATATTTGGTGAGGCTTTTGTAGTGATTATTCTTTTAAGCCTGGCAAAATTAAATATAAGAAAAGTCCTAATAGAACTTTTCTTGACTAAATACAATTATTTCAGGAGGAATGAGGTAGAAGGGATTCATAAAACTTAGCTAGATAGCCAGCTGCATTTATTTATTTATAGCCTTTTGTCTTGCTCATTTATGTTCTGAGAGTATAAAACCATCTTTGAAAAAAAAATTTTTTTTAAAGGTTTTATTTATTTATTCATGAGAGACAGAGAGAAAGAAAGAGGCAGAGACACAGGCAGAGGGAGAAGCAGGCTCTATGCAGGGAGCCCGATGTGGGACTCGATCCTTGGACTCCAGGATCACGCCCTGAGCCGAAGGCAGACACTTAACCGCTGAGCCACCCAGGCGTCCCCATCTTTGAAAATTTAAATTAAAAGACTATTTATATACCTATAATAGGAGCCTATTTAAAAATAATGGAGTAAATTATGAAAAACAAATGAAGTTTATTTGGGACCTTTTGAACATTATTCAATTCTAGAGTTGAAAATATGTTTAAGCTAATTTTTGTAGCTATGGTAATTTTACTGTTCAGGAGCTATGCCAACTCTAAGTACAATACATTTTAATTAATATAGGCTTGATGTTTTGTTTAATTGACACCAACTTTATTCATGATATATAAAATCTAAGTAATACATGTTTAGTTCCAGTGAAACAGCATGAAAAATGTGCTCTTTATTGTTTTTAAAAACTACCCAATTAAGTTATGGAAGTAAATCTTTAATGAGATAGCTCCTCTGACATTAAAAGAGATGACTATGTCATACCTGCTCTTGGCAAAACCAAAATTAGATTGTGGGGTGATGGAATAACTTGGTCATGAAAAAGTTTATTCTTTAAATCAGAGTTGGCAAACTGTGACCTGTGTACCAAATCCTGCCTGTTTTTGTAAATAAAGGTTTATTGGAACACAGCCATGCTCATTCATGAACATATTGTCTGTGCTACAGTGGTAGTGTTGAGTAGTAGTGGATCATATGATTCACAATGCCTAAAATAGTACAGTTTGGCCCTTTAGTGAAAAATGTGCTGACCCTTGCCTCTATATCTAAGCCTTTTTTAGTCTGATCATGTTAAATAAAGTTCTAGTGGAGATTTATGAAGTTAGTATTTTTGTGTTTAATTTCTTATTCTGCTTCATTCTAAGATAGAATACTCATATATATAAAAATTTGAGTGGCAGTTTCCCAGCTTTCTCATCCATAGGTAGGCATAATACTACCTTGCAGGGTTGCTATGAGGAGTCAAGAAGAAATGTAAATAAAATGTTTAGGGTGCGTGGCATCAAGGAGTACAAGCAATGAGGAGGTATAATTAAAGGAAGTTTAGATGTTTATTTGGGTAGTTTAGGATGGCATGCTTTTTAAAAGCTTTCTTTCCTTTTTTTTTTCTTTCTAAAAATCTCAACTCTGATTTGTCCACAAAGCTGGCTTTATAGAGGCCTAGTTTATCCAGGTTCTTAATAAACCATTGCTGAATAACCTCCCTCCATCTTTTCCTCCCTCCCTCCATCCCTGCCTTTGTCCTCTTGTCCTTTCTTTTACCTTATTTTCATACTTTCCTCTCTGTTTCCTTTTTGATATATGTAAGCCTTAGTACTAAATTTAGATCAGTGAGTAGTAACTACAACTACGGAGAGTATACAGAGAACCTAACACATAGAAGATTCTCTCTTATCTGTAGTTCTATTTTCTAGGAAACAGGAACTCTAAAATCTTGTAATCTCCCTCTCTTTATTCTTTTTTTTTTTTTTTTAAGAGAGTGTGAGCATGCAAGTGGCTGCTCCCTGTATTCTCATGTGATTATGTATATTAACAGCCATCTAGGTATGTGTAAAATCTGTTTTTTACCACAGCAGATTTTAGGGCAGATCAGTTTTGTCTTGAACCTTGATGCCTTGATGCCAGCTTTAGACAGCATGGTTTTCTTCTGGGGACAGGGCAAATAGATGATAGAGTCTCCTTAGCATTTGAGGGCACCTTGAAGATCTAGTGATACAAAAATTCACTCTAGTCAATTTGTTTGTAAGCACCTACTTGTTTCCTTGTTTCATGAAAACAAAATTAAAGCTAAATTATTTTACTTGATTTTATTTTTAGGAAATCAGTTCAAAACCTGGGACCTAACCTTTTCAAGTTATTATAAAACCAACATTAATATAAATAACAAAAAAATCTTAGAATATTTTTTGTTTTTATTGACATTTGTCATTTTGTGGTAGCTTTAAGTTTTTGTAAGTATCATGAGAAAAAAATATGGAAAAGAGGTGAAATTCTAGGACGATATTAATGTAGGCAGCCTGGGTCCAAGGATCCAGAGTGGGGGGGATCCTCATGGGACAAGCCAACAGGATCCTTGACTTTGCCTAGGATAGAAATCAAACTCCTGGAGAAAGTAAAAGCAGAATTTATTGAATAGTGTGAATGACAGAGAATAGCTGTTGGTCTGTCTGGGAAATTTGGAAAGGAAAATAGAATGAGTCTCAATGTTGCTTGGGGCTCAGGGTTTTATATTGCAAAGAGGTCTAGGGCATGTGTTCCTTTGGGAATCCAGGGTAGGGTCCCATCAAAGGCAAATGTCAGGTGAACAATAAACATTATTTCATAAATTAGCAAAGGTAGCAGTATTGCTGCCAGTGTCAGCTGAGGTTTGTTCAAAGCTAATGTCCTGGAATATGTTTGGGATCTAGCTTTTCTTAGATGTTATCAGTTGTTTGGGGCCTAGGACAAAGCTCAGAGAATGATTAACTTTCGTTTCCCTTTAAGTGGGAACATAACTTCTTTGGCTTATTCAGAGACAAATATGGATTATGAGTAAATGGGGACTGCCAGAAAAATGGAACTTTTCTAGAATGGAGTCCCTTCAGCTTCTTTACCTCAATAGTAATAGCATTAGCAGACCCTTAGATGATAGAATGAACAATTATCTGCATTTCTTAAGGTTTTAATCTCCCTCACTTGAGAATCTTTTTATCTGTAGTAAATTTAATTCTGTATTAGTTTAACTAAATTATTTTGTTTATGGTTTAAAAAGAAGTTAAAAACAGGTCAGAATTTCTCATTGAAAGTTCCTACTTTTTTAAAGCTAATACTTAAATGCATTAAACCTAAATTTTATATGTTACCTTTCTGTTAAAGTGTTCTTCCTATTCTCTCATTTATTTTACAGTAAACTGAGATTTTGGTAGAGGAAGATTTTAATCCCTAGTCCTCTAAGGCTCCATGAGTCACACAGGGACATTAAATGGTTTTCTTAGAACTACAGTTTTAGTATAAAGTTAGAAACATAAATGTTGAATGTACTTTATTTTATGTATTAATAGGAACCAGACAGCAAGGTTTAAAAAGTAATTTTGTGTCTGGAAATAGGTAGATAACATGGAAGATGAGGGATTATTTAATTAAAAAAATATTTTTTTGAGGAGTTAAGAATTTTATCTTGCCAGGAAAAAGGGAGAGAGGGAGGAGAATTCTAAGTCTCTGTGAAACATAGTTCCAGGACATATAGTTAGTATTAACATTCTTTTTGCTTGTATATGGAAAAACCAGTAACAGATTGATTTAACCTATCAAAGGAGAAATAGGAGGGGAGAAGAAGAAAAAAAGAGACATATTTGGAAATAGTGAATTTTGTTTTCCTTTACTTGGCTATGTTGCTGATAAACTGGAAACTAGTAAAGAGAACAATCAGGATATTCTCCTCTTGGGTAGGTTGACAGATCATCAATGAAAAACAGTTTTAGTTGTTTATGAATTCTTCAGAAGACCTTGGATGTTTAACTAGGACTTGAATGTAAGATTGCCATGTCTCTGTCTGCCATGGTCCTCATTAGCATTTCCATGCTGAATCTGTGTTAGAATTTGTCACTTGTTTTATTACAGTCTTATTCCTATGATTTTTTTTTTTTCATTTTGTAAGGCTGTTGTTCCATTTTCCTGGGGGTTTTGCCATTGTAAGTCATCATTTAAACATTATGTGTAATTTGTTAGTCTTCAGATCAGAAAGGTCTCAGTCTATTAGAGACTATATGGGAGATCTGAACTGCAATGTGTAAAGTGTTTTCAGGGGGCTTCTCAGTTATCTAGAAGAAATTAGTAAACCAACAAAAAAGTGTTTATCTATATCGTTTATGATCTTTTACCTTAATGTTGCTTTGAAAGTTTATGTTAGGATTTTGGAATATTTTGCAAATTTTCTTTTTTATAGTTAGATTTACTATCACTATGTTATCTTTGACAGAGAGTGGAAACAATCTTACAGCAGATTCTGTTTCCTTACAGTCAAAGGCCGTTGGATTGCTAGATGTGGATGTGTATGGCCCTTCGATTCCAAAAATGATGAATCTGAAAGGAAATCCAGAATTATCACAGAGTAAGTAAAGAAGAGAGAGACAGGGCAGCCCTGGTGCCTCAGCGGTTTAGTGCCGCCTCGGCCCAGAGTGTGATCCTGGAGACCCAGGATCGAGTCCCACATCAGGCTCCCTGCATGGAGCCTGCTTCTCCCTCTGCCTGTGTCTCTGCCTCTCTCTCTCTCTCTCTCTCTCTCTCTGTGTGTGTGTGTGTGTCTCCCATGAATGAATAAATAAAATCTTAAAAAAAAAGAGACAGTATGATAATAGATATCCTTTTTAAATTACCTCCTGAATGTCAGGTGTTGTGCAATGTACCATGCATACCTTATCCACAGTGTAGTATAGTCCTTTTGAAATCAGATATGGAGCCAGACTGTCTGGGTTTGAACGCTAGCTCTCTCACTGACTGTGTGGCTTTAGGTGAATTATTTAATCTCTTTGTACCTCACCTCTGCCCCCCTATGTAAAATAAGGCTAACAATTACCAGGGCTGCTGTGAGAAATCACTCAATTAGAAATTGCTGTTAAGAAAAAAAAAAAAAAAAAAAGAAATTGCTGTTAAGGAGCCAGGGCAGGGAAAAGAGGGGATGGAGAGTAAGTAGTTCCTTAGATTTGCCTGAGGGCAAGTGACTAGCTAGTTTTGCCCTTTTTCCTCCCACCTTGTATGTTGATGCCCCTAAAGCAGGTCTGTCCCCTCTCCCCTATCTCCACAGTCACCAGAGATGAGCACATTTCTGATGGTGAAATAGAGCAGTATTTGCCTACTCCCTCAGGAAGTTGGAGAACTTTCAAAAAGCTCAAGTTGCAAGACAGGCTGCCATGGGGGTTTCTAAACCTCCCTGATGTGCATGGGGGGGGGGAGCATTCACACCATTCTGACAGCAGCTTGATAATAGGCCTGTCATATTCGGCAGTGTATATGAGTCCTAAGGGTTGGGTTTTTGTTTTTGTTTTTGTTTTTGTTTAAAGAAACCAAGGGACTTTGCAATTAATTGGACCCTGGAGCCTGGAGCAGAGGTCGGGAGCAATGCAGGGACAACTGGGTTGGAGAGAATCCCAATCCTTGGGGCTAGAGAGGAAGTTACACATATTCATATTATGAGGGATGGCTTTCTTCCTAGACTGATTGGAGGATATTAAGCTTTCTTCTGGTTTGAATTGGATACACTGCTGCTGCAGTCCTGATGGGCCTTCCTTGCCGATTTGGAGCAGTTGGCCTTTCTCATAGCCCTCAGAGGACAGGAATGGGACAACTCTTGGCCCTGTGTCCATCACAGGCATTGACAGGTTTTTGTGTAGGGGATTATAAAATCCTCTACCTCATAACAAAGTGACCCTGGGTGGACCAAAGCTCAAAGGGCTTTGCAAAATTTTAAGATATTAAAACAAGAGGGTACTAGAAAACATTCTATTGTATATAAAACCTGAGCTTTTAAAATAAAAAACCTAAAACCAATAAAAAAAAAAAAAGAAATTGCTCGTAAGTGTAGTGCATTTGACACAATGCCTGGCACATAGTCAGTGATCATTATCATTATCTCTTCACATTAAATGTGTGGATGTATGGAAGTATTTTAATAAAAAGTATATATTTGTGTTAGAAGATGTGAAAATTATTTTTTCTAATCCTATATCTGTTGTATTTGTCTTAATGTATTTATAAAAACCCCTCAAATACTAGTTTTTTTTCCCAGCCTTCACTGCTATCAATAGGACAGTAATTTTTTGAATAAATCTTTAATATTTATTATGCTCGTTATTACACTTTCTTGCAAAATTATCAAATATAAAACATTAAGAACAAGGAAATGCTGTGATCAAAAAATGAGGTATTGGAAAGGGATATCTGGCTGGCTCAGTTAGTAGAGCATGAAGCCTCATGTTGGGCCATGAAGACTACTTAAATACTAAAAATACTAAAAATAAAAAAAAGTATTGGGAAAACTTTTAACTTCTTGAAAATGGTTTTAAGTGAAATTAGTTTATTAAAATTTATTTCAAATTATAGGGGTGCCTAATAAAAAAAGTTATAGGGATGCCTAAGTTAAATAGCTGACTTTTGATTTAGGTCCTGGGATCCAGCCCTGTGTCAGGCTTCATGTTCCATGAGGAGTCAGCTTAAAGATTCTCTCTCCCTCTCCCTCTGTCCCTCCTGTCACTCATGCTCATGCTCTCTCTCTCAAATAAGTAAATAAATCTTTAAAAAAATTATTTCAAATTGTAATAAGGGTATATAATTGAATAATTTCTTTTCATTTCTTATTGGGCTTTTTATTTTCCATAGATCTAGGACAGAATGACTGTATTTACTGTAGGATTTTTGTTGGATTATCTGTGTAAATAATAGAAGTATTTTTTGTTGTTGTTGTCATCAAATGTTAGTTAATTAGGCACTATCTGCTATCTAATGTACTTTTGTTTGTGCTTTAGTTGTTGGAGTCAATTGCAATGTTAAGTTCTGAATAATTATAGGAAATTTGAAGATGTAGTGATGATAAAATTGACCCTAGCAGTCTTACATTGTAAGCACTCAATTAGTTTTTCTTGTTTGATGAAAATAAAACTTAGAAAGTGAAGTTATTCTAGTTTTTTCTTCTTTGTCCTTTTAGTGGAATGTATACTTAGTTTGTAAATATGTGACATATGCTAAGATGTCAAACTTTCACAAAGAAGGAGTAATGAATTTGCGTACTTTAAATGATAGACTTACTATGTCTATCTCTTGATTAAAGTAATGTGAAAACTGGTGCATGCAGCATACGAGTGATGGCAAAATGGAGCCCTTGGTGTCATTTTTTTCTTAAGCAGTCTGTTCAGTCTATGCCAATATACTTGAAGTGAACTTTATAATTTCTTTCTTCTTGTTTTACTGAAGCTGTAATCTTAAATTTGATATTTGCAAATTGGCTGCCATTAAATAGGCTTTCTGGTAAAGATGAGATGCTGGAAATCTTGGGAAGCCTTAAAAGAATACTTCTTTTGTGTTGACAAGCTGATCTTAAGTCACCCAAGAAATGAACTGAATGATTAAGGCATTCACTTTAAAGAATGTGAATTCTTGAAAGCCCAACTTATAAATTATTTTTGGAATCTTAGGTAAGTCTGCCACCATTATACTAATTGGCATCATTTTGACATTTCTATATTTTAACATGTTAATTATCCTGTTGTATTCTCTATTGCAGAAAACAAAATGTAATATGAAATTATCTAATTGATAAGGAAAAACTGTGAAAGATTTGTTTTTAGCAGGTCATAAATCTTTGTGTTTATAATTAGCACCTACTTCAAGACAAATGGGTATTCTGTGCTTCTTTCCCTTTTTGAGTTATATCAGAAAGCTATCATTAAGGTGTGTAGACTAGTAGTATGGTACATTTATAATGTGGCCATATCTTTTAGGGCTGTCTGTACTTCACATTTTTTTCTAGTCTAATTCTAGGTTAAAAAAGCACAAACTTTATTTCTTATTTCCTAATCTTCTGATCATTCCTAATGTTTTTCAAAATTATTGGCACATTTTCAGTATTTTCTCTCAGATGAGAAAAATTAAAAGAACTTGCTATTGTTAGATAGTGGAAGGATTAACTTGCAATTTTATTTTTAATACTCTATCTTAACTTATGTGCCTTGCAAATTTTTGCTTTTTAAAATAGATTTCATTATTGCTGATTCATAGTTACTTTAATAATTTACTGGGTACTTTAATAAAACATGTTTTTTTTTTCCTTTTTTACATGAGAACAGAGCTTTATTTTTATTTTTCATTAAGATATAATTCACATACCATAAATGTCACTATTTCTTTTTTCTTTTTTTGAGGTTAACAGAAAATAAAGCAATTAGGAAAGTAGTTTGGTGAAAGCAGGATGTAAAATGAGTTTTGAAGGTGGAGGATGTGGGGAATATACATATATGAATTGCAGACTATAGGAAAAGGCAAAAAGACAAAAAATAACACTATACTAAGAGGCATGAAAAGTTTTGACGGTCTAGATTTGGTGAGGCTAACTTAGAAGAAATTAGGTATGCTACCAAAAAAAGAAAGAAAGAAATGTGATCTTTTTCACTTCCCTTCTGTACCTCTACTCTAGGTTTTGTGTATGTGATATGCATCTATACTGGGTAATGGACTGAAATGATATTTTGTTGTTAAAATTGGACAGACTTCATACACCCATGTTCATAGCATTATTCACTGTTGTTATTATGAATTCACTATTCATTATTCCATTATGTGGAGGCTACTCAACATATCTCAGCAGATGAATAGATAAGCAAAACATGGTATATACGTAAAATGGAATGTTAATCAGTGTTAGAAAGGAAAGCAGGAGCTTCCCACTTGGTAAACATATGATTTGGAGAGAGTGATGTGCTTGGAGAGGTCATGAAGTTATCTGTTCTTCCTCATGTATCTTCCTATGTATCTCATCTCTCTGATTGTTTCGGAGTTATATCAATTTAATTTAATTTAATTTAATTTAATTTAATTTAATTTAATTTAATTTAATTTAATTTAATTTGTTTTCCAGCACCCATACCTCATCCTTTCCCTGCTTCCCAACACTGAGAGCTAACCAATAATATGAGTTATATTCTTTTATAATAAGCTGGTAATATGGTTGCAGGGATTAGGATGTGGACATCTTTGGAGGACCATCATTCTTCATATCATACCACCATTCGATCCCCTCCACTCAAGGTTTTTGCCACTGTCAACAAAGTGATCATTCTGGACATTGTCTTCCATTGCACATCAGCAAGAATTTCTTCTTGCTATGAATCTAGGAGTGTAATATCCAGGTCATGAGTTTGTGAATGTTTACATTACTTTCCAAGATGTTTGTATCACCTTATGCTCTGTTCGTTATATATGAGAGACACCATAGATCCACATCCTTTTTACATAGGACATAAGATGGTATCTCATTATTATAAAAAAAAATAAGGGAAGTCTTGCAACATCTTTGCAACATGGATGAACCATGAAGACATAGTTCATCCTAGGTGAAATAAG